AAATCTGGACCGGACAAAACTGGACCGTAAAAATCTGGACAGCATAACTATATATTTTAAGGGGCATTCATACGCTATACAAATTATTCTAATACCTTTTTTGTTGGTCCCACGATGTGGGATACATTCGTAAACCTTTATAATAATTCTTAAAATGGAAAGATAAATGTGTAGTTCAAATATTAATTAATATTATGATACTATTTAAATAATAATATACAGTAACAAATCTTGTACAACAAAATAAAAATATTATCAAAGTAAAAATTATAATGTAAGATTAAAAAGTTGGTGGGTTAGTGGATTGTGGATTAAGATACCTTATTTATTTCTGTAAAACGTAGTTTTAATAATTTAACATTACAGTTCTAAACAAATATAGTTTTACATTTTATAGATCTTTAGATCTTGTACAATGATCATGTTGAAATAAAAATAAAAAGTATTTTAAATACCAAAAAAATATTTAAATACAAGTATTCAAACACTGTATATACATATTATATTTTATGTGTTTCTGTGATTAAAGTAAATTTATTTATTATTTTTTTTTATCAAAGTAAGCATTGAACAAATACACTCATTAGTCATTACACTATCGCCCATCGTACCTACCTACTCAACTTGGAAAAATGAGTATGTTCCATTAATTTTTTTCTAATTTATTAATTGACGTGGTAAACTGCATTTCTTTTACACTATTCAAAGGACGCCCTTCAAACGGTTGAATTTCAAATGGTTGAACGTCAAAATCTTAAACGTCAATTTATTGAACGATAAAATCTTGAAAGTAAAATTGTGTCAATATCTTCAACGTCAAAATTTTGAACACAAAAATCTTGAACACAAAATGTTTTTGTTTATATTAAATTTGGCCTTTTTTACAATCCGACCAGAACCATATACAGTGTGTTCAATATGTATGGAAACACTAGATTATTTCCCCCCCTATTGAACATTTTTGAGTTCTGATTTTTGTATAATAACAAGGGCTATAAAATGCATATTTAAGAATATTTTTAAAAATCCCCCCTCTTTTATTTTGGGTGTTAGGCACATCAACTTTTGATTTTTAAATGGCAACCACTATTTTTTTTTTATATTCTTAGACATAAAAAAAAAATAATAATTGCGGTTGAAATTTAAATTTATAATGAAAACTTTTTGAAATATACCCAATTTACCAACAAATTATAGCTGCATAAAAATAAAGAATTAAAGGTGTTATTAAATACTTTAAACTGAATTAAAAGTACTGCTGTATAAAGAATTATTTATATTTTAATTTTCTCAAAAAAAAACTTTTAAAACTGATTTTTAATATCCCTTATTTACATTTGCAAAAATGCATTCGTAAAGGGCATATATTTTATCAACTGTTGGAGGTGCTACAATATCTTATTAGTCATTACGTGTATTATAAACACTTCACGAATCACGAGTACCTACCTAATTAGCATTAGCCGCCTGGACTCAACAGACCATATTTATCAGCTGTCATAATAATAATAATAACAACAAGTAGTTTACATAAACTAGTTTATACGTCAATGAATAACAACGATTAAAGTTTCTATATTATCAATAATCGTGATATCAACATTTTGATATCACCATTATCTCAAAAGACTTTAGGCTTTAACACATTTTTTGCGCCAGCTATTTAATTAAAAATATCATAATTCATAGGTAACTGGTAAGTCTTCATTTTTTAATTCAGTTTTGCAAGATTTAAAATTGAATTGAATATTATTATATTAAAATTTGTTTTTCATTTTTTTAAAGTTATTTTTTCGTTTGGATTTGTGTCAAATATTTTAAAGGTAAAATTATTGGGGCTCAGATGTATATAATATTAGTCATTTTTATTTGGTGCAATTTACCAAATTTAACTGATTTTTATAAATATATATTTTACACTATCGTGCAGACATGTTGTTATTAACATGTATAATAGATACATAGGTACCTTCTATTTATGCATTTTGCATTTTCATGATTAGTAAAGTAGGTATCAATCATTTTCTATTTCATAATATAAAACCTAGGTATATAGTATATTTACATATTTTGAGTTTTTAATAGTATGTATAAATCTGTATACTTAAATTAGCTATAGTGTAATTTGAGCCCTAATAATTATCAATAATAAAAAATATTTGGAAATATTTCATATTTTGATTTGTTACTTACTGCAGGAATTGAAATAAGATGCTGCATAGAAAAAGCAAATGTGGCTAATATCAAAATGAAAAATATATTGGTACACCTATCAGCATCAGCTAACATGCATCCTCGAATCCTAATGATTCGTAGTTCTGCGTATTCACCGTGCTTCTTTACAGAGTAGATACTTGGACTCTATCTAAAGATTTGAAATATTGAGTTCAGGCATTTGAGGTATTGATATACCAGTATCTTGATGCAAATGAATCTTGAAGAATCTTGAAGTAGTCAAAACCATAAAAAAAACTTTAATACCACAGACATGTTATGCGCACCCAGGAAAATATATTATACTACAATTAATAATCCAGTGTAAAATAGATGGAAGAAGCGATGAAAGACCTCAAATGTCTTGGATTCAACTATCGATGGACAATCTCAAACGGTGGTTCAACAAATATACAAATTCACAATTCAGAGCAACCATTAATACAGTTAAAGTCCAAACGTTTAACATGATTGCCAACATTTGATAATCAATACAGCACTACAAGAATAAAGAAAAAATGAATGTCTTAGCCAATGGTGTGGAATATTTTCCCCTAAGCTTGTAAGTTGCATGCAATTACAATTACTAAACAAATGCATATTATCATTGATTTGGATGATAAAAGAAGGACCCCAACGTCTTCCCCCGATGTGTTAATTTTTCTTTATTTTTACCCATCAACCATTAGGCTTAAAATTTGCATATCGAGTAATTAACAAAACGTATAACAGATACTTATTTTATAAGTTTTATTTTATAGTACCTACTTAATATTAATTTAAAAGTAGTAATATTTACAACTATTGCCAAATGCGAATTATACTATTGCATTGTCCATTACAAATGGGACAACGATCATTAACTAGCTGGTTTGCGCAATCTTCACATAGCACTCTATGACCACATGGTACAGGTGCATGTGTTCAAGTACCATCTCTGCAGACAACACAAATTATTTCTTCATCTTGTAGATTTACTTGCAGATTATAATTGACTTGGACATAAGGAATATCATCAAGGTTTTCTTCATTGCCATAATTCTCCTGCCATCTTACCAACTCAAAATCTTCCGGAATCCAAAAATCCCTTTCATCCCCTAGTATAGAGTATAAATACTATATTAGGTACAAGTATCAAAAATACAGGAAATAATTTTTTCAGGTATCTTACAGTCGTTAACATTTTCTGGCTCAAGGTTTCCATTGTCTACATTAATTACATCTACATTTTCTTCATTTTCCTCTATTACATCTAAATTAAAAACATACATTAATTTATTGAAAATATTGATTTCAATAACATTTAGGTACTCTAAAAAGTTAATAGTCTAAGCATCACATCTATAGTAATTATTGTTAATTAACTACTTTATTAATCTCACGGTATTATTACTTATTTAGATCATTTTATTTTACCTCTTTCAATAGGAATTTCTACAATATTATGCACTTCATCATAATCTTGTTCATTATCATTTTGCATTTCATCATCATTTTCTTCATCATCATTATTCTCTTCAACTATTATTTCATAAAAATTAGTTTCAGAAAAATTATTTCTAAATTTATTTTCTCGAGTTCTTAGGGCATTTTTGCATATTTTTTTAAGTTATCAACATCATATGTGTAGTTATAACTGTAGCCTTCTCGGTTTTTTCCCACGCTAAGCAGTTTATGGTATGTTTTACATTTGTAAGACGGAGACAACACATCTCTTAATTACATGATCATTCTAGGGTTATTAATTTTGAATTTACTATTACCTATTATGTTGGGTTGTTCTTCATGAGGTGGGTCTTCACCGCCTTCATTCTCAACCAACTCATTTAATGCCAACAAACGCATCCGTTCTTCGTATGTTTCAACAGTATAAGAACAGCGCAACAGAAATGTCAGGATATTTATTGAACCTTGACGCAGTTGGCGACTTGCTGATTTTATCTTTTTGTCATTAGCTAAATATTTAGATCGAGAGCCACGTGATATTACCAATCCGTTGCCTATTTGTTCAAGCTTGATCAAATAATTGTCATTTATTTTGCATAAATTAGCTATAAAAAACAATTTAAAAAAATACTGATTAATAGTTAATACCTACCTACTAATTATTTATTGCGGTTTACTTTACCGATAAATGACCAAATATTAGGATGGGAAACTTGAAAAGTTTGTCTTAATTTGCTGTGAAAGCTTTCGATATTGTTGTTGGTTCTAAATTTTTTTTTGTGCACAGAAAGTAAGTCAACTCCAACATTTTGTATCCAATATCTGCTCCAAAATTAATTTTATTAATACTACAATATATTGTTATACATAATATAATTAAAACTTATTGTAAATATACCTTTCATAATAGTTGAAGAAACGTCGCACGTTTATACTATGTCTCGCTGCATAACGTTTTACTTCAACAAAGCCTTCTTCAATTTTCCTAGCAGGCAGAAGTGGAAGAACCATAATCATTTTCAAAACTTTTGATGCATAACCATTGGTGTTTACCAAATTTAAATATCCTAATTTACACATTTTTCGCCACACAGCCTAAAATTTAAAATTTTAAGTTATTAACTTACATAGTATTAGAGTAAGAGTATAAATATCATGAGTATTAGTACATACTTGGTTACTATGAAACCAGCATCCAAGGGCTGAAGCTGATGGAAAATGTCTAATCAACATTTCTCTTAATGCGGTTTCAAAGTCTGTTAATATAATCGTAGGCCTAAACTCAGGCAGTAAATTTACTTTTATAAAGTTTAGTACTGTATCATAAGCCTGGGAAGTCTTGCGTTCCATTAAGGCGTATACTATAGGAATACTCTAAAATAAAGTCTTATAGAATTTAACTTAATGCAATATTATAACACCATTATAACTTACATGGTTATTTACCATCACATGCATTATGAGTAATTGGTAAGACTTAGGTGTTGACGGAATGACCCGAAATGTAGCATCAACATGCATTTCCGTTACTTCCATTTCTAGAGCCTTCAGAATTAAACTTTTAGAAGCAAAAACTATTGAATTATTCCCAGATGTATCTTCTACACAACCTAGAGAACAAAATATTATTTTAATGAAATCAACAGTTGATTGTGTAGCATTTACAATATCTCTTGCTGCCCAAAGTATAGATAAACTGTCTATGTTTAACAAT